CTTTTACCACAAATTGACGTAGGTAGAACGCAGGACTATATTTATTCCAACCAAAAAACATATTTGAAGAATTAGGTACCTATTTATGGACATCTTTCCCTGCCTGAAGAACGCATCGTGTTCAAATTTTTTAAAAGATTTTCATCAATCTTTCTAGCCTAAGGAATAAATTTCCTTTCAGTTGAATATTCATTTTAGCTCTGATGGTAATTAATTTAGAACTTATTTGTTTCAGCGCAGTAGGAGTAGGTATATTCGGTTTGCCCTAGTGACCCAAATTGATTTTAAATTATACTTAAGTCGTTTGAATCGATTTTATTATAAATTATTAAACCGTCGCCAAACGTATTTTTACTAGATTTTGCAGCTCGGTTTTTTCCCCTTGCCACAACACATCAAAACTAATGCATTATTAATATGGGTATTTTGCCTGGAGGTCTTTGAGTCCATAATTAATTTTATTGTTGATTCATATAAGTAGTGCCCATGAACTTAAATATTTTCCAAGTATCGTGGGAGAAAAAATAACTCTAGAAATTGTATGACGTATTTATATCGTGCATGAGAGGGTCATAGAAGTTTGATAGCTTATTCGATTTTAGTTGTATGTCAAATATGACATACTAAAATGTAAGTCAACTTACTTCTAGGATCAGTTTCTACTCAGGCTGAAATAATAAAAAATATGAACTCTGTTTAATTAGTACGTATCAGAAGTACTTATATCAAGTACCTACTTATAGTTAGAACCAACTAAGAAGAACCCCTGACGTCATCACTGACAAAGAAGGCAAATTTCCTTTTCTCTAGGGCCCTCCCATTTGAAGTGAGACAAAAGATCACGCGGTGGCTTCTTCTTAGTTGGTTTTATCTATACCTAAGAATTTTGAAGGTATGACGGAGTTGTTAACCACTTTTGAATAAGAAATAAGTCATTAAGAAAATTGTAATACTAATCATTTTCTGGTACTGACCGCAAATACGATGGTCAAATGACTTAAACAAACACGCTGGACCAAGATATGATAGAAAAGTAAGGATGAATGGAGAGGAACACCTCTGTCCGGACCATTTTGATTATGAAGACATAATTCACGATTTTGCCGCTGTAAATTCTATAGAAAAAGAGCTTTGTAATAAAACTTCTTACAATATAGGGGAGAAGTGTGTACCTCGGGACACAGTGTACTTTGGGACACCTCCGTAGAAAGAAAACAAAATGTAGTATTCTAACCTGCGAGTCAAAAAGTTGTTTTACTCTCTCATAGATGGCAGTAGGAAAAATACTGAAACATTTTATTTGCATATGGCGAACAATAACAGCATCCTACATTTTGAACTGTAAAAAGTAAATTTTTATCCAGTGACATCGTGTCGTTTAAAAATTAAAGTAAGTATTTTATTGCACTTATATGTAGTATAGTGAATTGTTGAGATAATTGTATGATTATTTTTTGTTTTGAGAGGTCTGTTTCTCTATTTTTGCACAAGAATAACCTAATTTGTTGTATGTTTAACGGTATGTGTACCTTGGGACACAGGCACAGGTGTACCTTGGGACTGTCCCAGGGTACACCTGTACAGTCCCAAGGTACACTTGTAATATTATTTTTTGTAGATATGCAGATATTCTAAATAAATATTGTTTAAATTTTTTTCTATGTAAGTCATAAATCGGTTGTGGTAAATCTGAAGTAGTATATGCATGGAGGCTGATTATTGTTCACGTTTTTGAACTGCAAATTTTAATTCGAAGCAAAAGCAACTTTTTGTCGTTTCAGAAATGCCTAGAAGCCATAATAATATTAAAAGGCCCAAGCCTTCTTCTGAGGCTGTTAAAGCTGCAGCTGAAAAAGTTCTTAGCGGCCAATCCGGGCTAAGAGAAGCCGCTTTAGAATATAATGTCAGTAAATCAACACTAAGTCGACACTTAATAAAACACCGAAATGAAGATAACGAAGAGTTTCTGTATGTTCCAAACAATGCTGTTAAGCAAGTTTTCACCAAAGCCCAAGAAGGTGAATTGAATGTTTATTTAAAGCAATGTTCGAACATGCACTATGGTTTGTCTACAGTCGAAGTGAGAAAGCTGGCCTATAATTATGCAAGAGTGAATGGGATAAAATATCCTGATTCGTGGGACCTTAATCAAAAATCTGGAGTGGATTGGTTAAAGTATTTTCTTAAGAGAAACAATGATTTAAGTTTACGAAAACCTCAGGCTACCAGCTTGGCTAGATCAACCGCTTTCAATAAAGAAAATGTTAACACCTTTTTTGACAAATTAGAGAATGTCATAAAACGATTCAATTTTGGACCAGAGAATATCTATAATTTGGACGAGACTGGCATGTCTACTGTTCATGCCCCTGTTCGCATTTTGGCTCCCAAAGGCAAGAAACAGGTTGGCAGTATGACGTCAGGTGAGAGGGGATTAAACATAACAATGATAGGAGCCATAAATGCTGTAGGGAACTCAATACCGCCACTATTTGTTTTTCCAAGGGTCCATTTTAAAGACCACATGCTGAAGGGAGCTCCGATAGGTAGTGTGGGTGTGGCAAATCAAAGCGGTTGGTCAAACTCGGCAATATTTTTAGAATATCTACACCATTTTGTAAAATACACCCATTCTAGCCAAGAAAATAAAATTCTTCTAATACTGGATAATCATGAGAGCCACATCTCGGTGGAGATATTGAACTTTTCAAAAGAACATGGCATCGTCATGTTAACATTACCACCACACACTAGCCATAAGCTTCAACCTCTCGATAGGTCAGTCTTCGGACCATTGAAAAAATATTACAATACCGCATGTAATGAGTGGCTGTTATCAAATAGTGGAAAACCCATGACACTTTATGATGTGGCTGAATGTGTTGGAAAAGCCTTCCCCAAGGCATTTTCTCCTGCAAACATTCAATCTGGATTCAGGGTAGCAGGAGTTTTTCCTCTTAATAGGAATATTTTTGAAGAACATGAATTTTTGAGTTCCTTCGTAACGGATAGGCCACTGGAACAGTCGACAAGAAATTTCCCACTGGCTACCAAAGATTTATCAGAAAACGACGAATCATCAGCAAATTCTGGTAATATTTTTATGAATATTCGGTAGGTCTTAGCATTTCCTTTATCTGTTTTCTTTAGTTATAGATAGCCAACCAGTTCCGGGTCCATCAGGAATAACTATCACACCCGATAAAATACGACCATTTCCAAAGGCTCAAGCTAGAAAGGGAGTCAAACGTGGTGGAAGAAAACTTGGCCGATGTAGGATACTCACGGATACCCCTGAGAAAACTGAAATAGAAGAAGAGGCAGCAATGAGAGAGCGAAAAAACAAATGTAAAAAGACTACAGTTAAGAAAATTTTAGTTTCTTCCAGTAGTAGCAGTTCGGATAAAGAAAATCAGTCGATTTCTTCAAGTGATAGCTTAGAAGATATTGAATGGGACAAACCTGAAAGTGAAGATGAAATGTCTAACGATGAAATAAAAGTAGGCGGGTTTGTCCTGGTCAAACTGATGGGCAAGAAGTCAATAAAGTTTTATGTAGCAAAAGTAATTGAAATGTTACCCGATGACGTTTTGGCGGTAAAATATTTGAAAAAGTTAGTTGGAGGCAAGTTCATATTTCACGATGAAACTGTTTATGAAATTTCGACATCCGAAGTTGTTATGATTCTGCCTCTTCCTCAACTGGCAGGAGGAACTGAGAGAAGGAGTCATCAAATGCGTTTTTCGGTGGATTTTTCTGGTTATAATATTGAATAATTTAATGTCCCAAGGTACCCACGGTGATATCCCAAGGTACCCAAGGGAGTGTGTACCTTGGGACAAAAAATGTGTTTTTTAAAATGTTGATTTTCCTATTTTGGTATGAGATTTAATGTTTAGTTTATGAGTATGTGTTAGACCCTATGTTAAAATAAGAAACTATGTGGAAACAATTTTTTTAAAATAAATGATTTCCCAAATACAAGCTTTTTCAATAAAATGTCCCAAGGTACACACTTCTCCCCTACATTACAGGTTGAAATATGAAAATCTATTATTATTCACCTAATGAAAGAAAAGTATAGCTAGTCTCTGCATATTAACTGAATAATCACTGAAACGACAAAAAAATGTGTATCATATACTCACACTCTATGTAAAAGTTCAAGCATAGAAAACGTTAATTTTATTTTTAAATTTTACATTACTTTTTCAGTGTTCCGCGTTCCATAAATAGGTTAATAGCTATTTACCATTAAACAAAACATTAAAAACATGAAAAATAAGGACACGTATGCACTAAATTGAATGGATATTAGAGCCCAGCGTTGAACTAAACAAAATAAGAAAGAGGACATGCATGTTTGGTTCGTTTATATACCCTTTTTGATGACCCAGTTTAAAGTGTCGATTATCCTAATGAGATCTGATTTTGTCTGTTAGTGTTAAACTCATTTATTATTCATATAAATAATATGGATACAAATTATTATTTGCTAAAAAACTCCTTCGTCTCCGTAGAAAACTTTTTTACAAATTACCCAGCGATATAAATTATTACTTATATTCTTAAACAGGATGTTTTTTTGGGGCTTGCACCCTTGAAATACATAAAAATAAATTAGAGTCGTATAAACGGGGTCAAGGGCAGTATCAAAGCAGCGATATTATCCAAAGTATGTAAAGACCATTTGCAGGAATGTATTATCGATTTTGTGATGGCTAGTAAGTAAGATGTACATACATTATATATTTACGATTAGATATTATCAATAATTGTTTTTCTATAAAATTGTGGTAATTATTGACAATTCTGGGATTCAGTAAAATGTTGTCTAACTGCCAATCAACCATGCGATGGTGCTAATTTACGCCCAAAAAACATAATATAGGTAACGTAAAAAACTCAAAAACCTCAAGCATTTTTATCCAAATATCAAATATTTCCACCTTCATTTATTTACCAAATTCTGATGTTTATTTCAATTAAGTATTCATTACCTTCAACTTTCTTTATTCCAAAAGTCAATTTATTGATGAATCGTTTTCACCTTGGAAGGCAAACTTAATAAACGGTTTGGCATCGACCGTAATATAAAATAATAATGTCCGGAGAACGCAATTCTCAAGACACCGATATTGTATGCCCCAGCGCGGACGTCGCAACACTATTTATCACAAAACTGTTTGCACTGACCACTGGCTAACCGTGGCGAATGAAGCCTCGCGACGTTGGTCAGTGGTGGGGAATGAGATTCAGTCAAAATCTATATTGTTTTTGAGCGAAACTAATAAATAGAAAAGTGATTGAAGTGAACGGGGGGTATTGTTTTTAGAAGTCATTAAACCCTCAATTAAACGTACGGTGGGGTTAGCAAAACCTACCTACTTTTACGGGAGATAAGAAGATAGCAATTTTGCATAATGTTATGATTTTCTTCTAGATTTGCATCAAAAATGACACTTTACCAGTAGTACTACAAAAATCAAAGAGGACGATATAAGGTGCATAATGTTCTGGATAGAGCTTTGGCAGAGTTATTTTGTTGGGAGATTGAGTTGGCAGAGACTCCGCTCTCTGGACAGACACCATACACCATTGGGATGGGAGTTCTTCTATTCAAAGCGCGGTCTGGTTATAACAAAAGTAGGTACTCTCTTCCGACAAAAGAACAAGCTGGAATGTTTCTACAAAAGTATCGCCAAAACGATGGAAACAACCAAACCTCATCCTCATCTTAAATGAAGATAGACACAAACATTCAGTTACCCTACTATTGAACGAGGAATTTGTCGATATTGAACAGCACTATTATCGGAAGGAAACATGAAAATTGATCCTATTTCCTACTAAACTATTATAACGATGATCATAAACAAGGTCTTAACTCCCGCGCGGGAGTTAAAGATTTCATAACTACCGCGCGGGAGTTAGGGATTTCCATAACTCCCGCTTTTACCTTGAATAGGTAAAACTTTTAGAAAAAATAGAAATTTTAATTTTGGTTTATGGTTTATTCCTTTATAAAAATGGAAAAATACAGTAAATTCAGTAGGAAATAAAATTATCAACATATTATGTACCACGGGAATTATCAGGTGTGTCTCGGGCTAAAGGCCCTCGCTACACAAACTTTGCCCTGGGGTATTAACACCCTCATAATTCCCGTGATACATAAATAACTATAATGAGAACAATTAAAAGGTCATGGATCATCGCAAGGATGTGTTAGAACAAAATGTAGAGGATATCGAAATCAATCGAGATATGGAACAGGTACCAGCCTCTAAAAACACCATAACCTTCTTCAGCCCTACAAAAGGTCCGGTCCAACTTCCCTAAGATCTAGAGATGGGAGTCACCTGCTTCTCAAGGATTTGGTACCGCCAGTTTCTGATGGACGGAAGATTTAATAAATAGAGATTTCCATGTGGTTTTCAACAACGACCATTGAAAACCTACTCAAACCTATCTGAGTGACGTCCCTTCCCATCAAACAACGAAGAAAATATTGGAACATTTGCTGAATGAGCCCCAGAGATTTGAAATAAACGTGAAATTGATAATCTCTGTCAGAAAAATAACTCATAAAAGGAGAGAAACAGGCAATAGTCTACCTAAACAGTCTATGGGAAGGGTCAAATATTTGAAATATAAATACGAATTTTTCTGCATAGGTAATTAATAATGCCCCGATGACATCGACAATGTTGCCAAGTTTACCGGTTTTCAGATAATGTAGGGAACTTCGTTTTTTTAAATAGGAAGACCCACTTTTATTTGCATTGCATTATATTTCCGATTATCATATCCCTATTATGTGCGGTTTCTCAGCGGAAAATTTCATAGTTCTATTTTAAGCCGCTCTGGAAATATTTGAACTAACATGTTTTGCAAAGTGGAGGGAGTGTCAGTCGTTTCTGATCCAGGAAAAACCTCAATTAAATCAGTTATTTTCGAGATTGTACAGCGGTTGTTGGTCTTTTTCCCAGCAAAAGGTTGAGCGCAATTTCGAAACATATTGTGAGACCCCAAATTCAGAAACTTGGCAAGACATTACATTGGCGGGCGGTGACTTTAGTTTCTGAGTGAAGACACAGATTATTAATATGGGTCCTATTTGCGGGTGGAGAGTAAAACACAGAAATATTGTGGTCAATTAAAATAAAGTTTATTTTATTAAAATAAATAAAACTTGTTATTAAATAACAGGCGTCGGTGATAAATAATAATTTTAAAATAAAATTATTCAATCTCTAATAAGCATCTAAATAAATGTTAAAGATAATTTATATGATTCCAAGTTTTCCTTATTTTCCCCTACTGAAATGTTTTTATTATAGGTAAGCATAATGTATGTAACAAATTACTAAAATTTTAATTTACAGTTTGACTATGTAGACTCACACTCTTGCCTTCACAATTTCTGGCTGAACATAAAAAACTCTACTTACATTTAACAATAATATATTTACTGCTGGCCACACCTAATTACATGGAAATCTTATTAGTCGAAGGAATTTACTTTAATTATGAACACTTAATAAAAAACTCGATTATATTCTCGCTGTTATTTCAAGTCGTGCTTCTTCTCTCGGTTAATTCGAAAACTCTTTCACGCCGTAGTTATGACTTTCTGGACACAGGTCTCTCGATTCTCGATTACTATAGTCCAACAAATACCATTTTAAAGTCACGTGATTTTTCTCTATCCTTGTTGAATACATCTCAAACAGCGGTGATAGTAAAATTGACAAAAAAATTGCTGTCTAATTATTGTTGATAATATTCTTACCTGAAATAGAATCCGTCACTGTCATCAATTAGTTTGTCAAAGTTATTTTCGAAAATAATACAACGAACAAACACAGCTAATAATTTTGACCATATTAACCTTTTTCCAACTCGAAAAAAAGCAAATAGAAAACGGGTACCCAGTTTAAGTTTAGAATGTATTACAACAGACAGCAGATGCAACAAAAGTGAGTCTCGCAACAATTGCAAGTATTAAAATTGCCCTCTGATTGGTCAATACTACTTCAGAAACGCGTTTGTAAAATGCTAGTGGGAACATATATTAAAATTCAATAGTAATTAACCACCAGTAGCTTTTTGTAGGTGATATCAACGACATTATCAATGGACATACGTTTTTTGCCACCAGTATCACGTGACTTTAAAATGGTATTTGTCGGACTATACTTGTTTCTTGATTACTCAAACGAACACTGGTTTACAGACGTAGCTCTTCCCGTTCACTCGCTCTTTCCGGAACACTGCTTTTCTCCTGCCAAAGTCGCCTTGTTATATGATTGGTCCTCCCATTGTCTTGAATTTCTTTGTTTTTCTGACCTCGATTTTATGTGGTTGAATCATCCGATCAATTAGTGTATTTGGTCCCCTTTTAATTAATTATCAAGGGCGCCGCTAAGTGGTTTGTTAAGTGATGGGTATCATCATATAGGCTCGTGCGTGATTTATTGATCCTTCTAGGAATTTTTTGGTTCCTTTGGAATGTTGATTGTTGAAAGCACTTAAAAAGGTCCATGTACTTTTTCTTTATTCACATTCCAATGTTTTAGTCAATTATTCTGTTTAATTCCTATTGGCTGGTCATTCTTAAGAGGAAGGGTATCACGGTATCAGCTTTCAATAATTTCTGGATATCGATGTTCAGATAAATTTTAATTGAAGTTTCTGGTTGTGCTGTCTGAGTGATGGTCTCTCCTGAGATGGTTGTTTGGTAAGTCCTTGTTATTCTTGAATAAAATTTCTGTAGTCACTACAATATGTGAGATCCAGAGGAAAAGGATAGTGTTGAGGTATCAATAGACAATAGCTATACCGAGGTAATAGAGACCCAATGTGCCAGCTTCAGAAAGAAATTCTCTGGGTAATCATATAGCGCATTTTGATCTTAGTCGCTTATTGGTATTCCGTATTATATCAGAAATATTGGTATCAAGTCCATAAAGTCGAGTAAGGTAATCTGGAAGAAAGACTGGATTGAATCAGGCTTTAACTCAATCCAGTCTTTCAACAAGCATGGAAAAGGACAAAGTTGTTAGTTTTTGGCTGGTCCGCTTTTTGTTTCAATGTTTTCTAGACATTAGATGTTATTTATTATTCTCGCGAAGTTTTTAGAAGCGGGTCCTGGTTCGTGGTTTTCTGTTCTGCTTATTTCTCATATGAATTTCTCTTTTATTCGTTTCTCATTTTATTGGTGTTTTCTCTTATTCGTTGCGTTCTTTTGCTGTTTTCTCTGTCACTTGTCTTCCAAGTCTTGTGAAAATTCTAAAATTCCATCTCTTTTCGCCTCTTATTCGTCTAATCCTTCTACAGTAATGTCGCTCCTCCTATAACTTCTATTTTACTCCATTTTCTTTTACTATTGTTTTCTTTTGCTATAATAAATTAAAACTTAATTGCAAATAGAAGGTAAATTCACTACTCAATATTTTAAATTCGCTTTCTGTGAAAACATTGCGTGACTTTTCAATAATAAAATAGAACTTAATTCGTTTAGAATGTTTTCCCCGATTAAAGATAAATGCCGCGGTATGGTTTTGTTTATGCCTATTTTGAGTGATATTACAAGATAAGATAGTTTAACTTTTTTTAACAAAAATTATAGCTATAATCGGACTTGACAAGACATTGCAGACGAGTCGGGTCCCTGATCCATTGAAGTACGAGCTTAGATTTTTATTCTAAAAATCAGTAGAACCCCATCTGCCATTTTGAACGCCTCTATTTCGAGAAAAACAAATTAAATAGTTGTCGGATTCACTTAACTTCTCTATCATCATCATCATCATCATCAGTCAACCTGGTTGCGTCCACTGCCGGACATAGGCCTCCCATAGTCTAATCCAACTTCCTCAACCCTGTGTTGCACTCATCCGATTTGGCTCTATTCTTTTAATGTCGTTGGTTCATCTTCTTGGTAGGCGACCTCTGTTTCGAAAGGCTTCTTATCGTGGTCTCCATTCTAGAATCAACTTTTTTCCATCGTCTGTCTGCCACTCTCGCTATGTTTTCAAGCCCAGTTCTACTTTACCGTTGTTATGCGTTCAATAGCATCTGGTATTCCAGACATTTGGCGAAGTCTAATTAGATACTCCTAATCGTTAGTGATATACC